AGGGAGGGATGCCAAAGTATCAGGTAACAGCTGAAGCTGGGATTTCTCAGTCAACAACGTGTTACGAAGGCATCTTCTGCACAGCAACCACCTTTGAACAAATTTGTAAGTAGATGAGATTAGTGTGCACAGTAAAAAGCCCAAGGAGTATTTAAACTTCTTGTTTGGAGTGTGATAAGTTAAAAATGCCTATTTGTCTAAATTTCAGGAAAAAAAAAAAAAGAATCTCCAAGGTCCCTTCTTTGCAACAAGCTGGTCAGTTCATCACACTGAGCAAATACTGGCATGTCTAATTATTGTGGGAATATGCCAAAAGGGCTAATGTTGTAGGTGACAGTTAAAGGGTTTCGATTAACCAGAAATCGTCTGGGAGCGTATAAAATTTCCCCTTAATGCTGTCTGCCTTTCCCAGCTGAACCAGGCTCGCCCCAGGCCCCTGCCAAAACCCGGCAGGATGAGTTGGAGAACAATAATTGTACTGGCGAGCCTTACTGTGGTCAAAGCCCTTCCTAGAAGTTATCGGGACATAGGTAAGAATGCATCTCATATTTTTACTCTGTTGTTTTGTGTAAGAGTGACAGCTGCAGCTTCACGTGCGTGGTTATTTGGTATCTCGCTTTGCCGCTGCCAGTTCCACGTGGGTATCTGCTTAGGGGTCAAAGCTCTACAAGAAAACGGGATCTGCATAGATTCTCTTGCGATGACCCTTAGGTGTGCTGCTTCTCAACGGCTTGAGAAGCCGTGCAGTGTGCAGGACGGCCCGCGACTGCCGAGAGGAAGGCTGTCGAAGGGTAACTGAATGCGCAGGGCGGCGGTTGCGCCGCTGATCCTAGGGACTCCAAGAACCGCTGAAGGGAAGCCTGCGGTCATCCCGGCCTCCCTCCACCGTCCTGGTGGGATCCCCGGAGCGACGCTACCTCCAGCCAGCCATTCGGGGTAGCCAAGCTACACGGTCGCTCTGTATCACCCTTCGGAGGGGTCTCACCCTCTCTCCATTCACTGCTGAAGGAGCGGGCGAGGACCACGCTTCTCACTGAGGTTAAGGGCCTCAAATGAGACCACTGAAAACCTCCAAGAGCGTCCGGTTCAGATGCTTCTTTCACATTACATATTGTTATCATTAGTCAACTTTTTTTCATTTTTATAACCTCCAAAAGCACTCAGTGGCCCATCAGTGTAGAACACAACCAATGCTCGTGTTATTTTTCTCATGTTATGGTCTCAGCAGACACCATCACATTACTCAGAGCGAGAAGCTGCCTTATTTCTCTGATTTGTTTGATCCTTTTCTACCGCTCTCAGCCCTACCGACACGAGGGTGAGACGGCAACGTATTGATTTGGGAACAGGCCCCTTATTTTAAAATCAATCTCTCAGAATGTTCTCTAGCAAAGAAGCAACTCAGGAAATTACTGCATTTAGGTTTTCCCATTAGTAAAGGCCCAGAGGCAAAGTAAAAAGATTATCACAGGATCTTCACATAGATCGGACCCAGTTGTTTTCCACTGGGCCGGTTCACGACACGGACAGAAGGACCCACAGAGGTCCCTTCCAACCCCGACCATTCTGTGATTCTGTGATTCTGTGACACAGCTCTGTGAATTTCTGAAGAGCTTTGCCAACCAGTGTAGTCCTCAATTTATCCTGTTTTTACTGTACAGAAGAACTTTCATCTGCAGCTAAAGAGTGGTCAAGCACACCTTTAAGTAGCTCAGGCAAGGGTGAAAGGTGCTTTGTAAGGCGCGTATTTAATCATATGAAGTGCATCGTCAAAGTAGCTGAACGCCCTCGAGGTTTGAGCGTATTCCTCCCCACAACACCTGATCTAGGCAGGGAAATTATACTGGCCCTATTATGTTGTAGGTCAGAAACAAATCATTCCAAATCCTCACCCTGAAGTCAAACAGGAAGTTCAATCTCACACCTTCCTACCCCCAGCGCTAGTACCCCAGGCACCAAATTATTTTTCTCCCAGACTCCAGTACCAAAAAAGTAAAAGGTCTTTGATGAAGCATTTACTAAACATTTCTTATTAAAATTATCTTGTTTTTCAGAGGAAAGAAACAGCATTGGCCAACGTTTTTCTCAGCTGCAGGAGAATAATTTTAAAGCCATGTAAGTGGTCCAGGTAAAGCGTCTGCTTGCAGATTCGCGGCCGCTGAGCATCCTCATGTTGTGGGGAAATGAGCACGGGCGGCAAGTGAAACACCCTGCACCAGCTCAGCCCGGGTGACATGAATCCTCTTACTGTCTCGCCCATAAAAGTTACAGCACTGGTTTTTAGGCAGCCACCAACAGGTTTAACGCTGTGTGTTCTCCTCGTAGTGCCATGGTCATGTTTGCTCAGTACGTGCAAGGAGGCACGTTTGGCAAAGCCGCTAAAATGGCCGAGGATGTCACCGACCTCGGCAAAAGGTGTGCTGCTGCGGCCAGAGACAGCCCGGATTGCCTGAAGCCTTTGGTAAGCACCTGCATGCTTCTGAGGTGGCAAACGTTTCCAGATGGGACTTCTAATTTCAGAGTCCTGGTACGCGTTTTTGGCCTTCCTTGTGTATGCCTGTTTGGCCTCACGGACTCATTCTCCCCGTTCCCATCTATAAAGCATCTCAAGATAACCATCTTTCCATCTGAACCCGAGGAAGAACTTCTTCCCTCTGAGGGTGACGGAGCCCTGGCCCAGGCTGTCCAGGGAGGCTGTGGAGTCTTCTTCTCTGGAGATATTCACCTGCCGGGACACGATCCGGTGCAGCCTGCTCTGGGTGACCCTGCTTGGGCAGGGGGTTGGGCTGGGTGACCCACAGAGGTCCCTGCCACCCCCCACCATGCTGTCATTCTGTCTGTCATAACTGGAGGAGAACACAGCCACCCCAGATATCACAGCATCTTTTGCAATCCTTGACCTGTATCTTTCTAAAAGGTGTTCAGAAAGTTGTGCTTTTATGGCTGGTGTAGCAAAATTCCGGAGAAGCCAAATTAGCTATTTCTAGGAAATAACGACGTTTATGGGCATTTGCTCTACTCCATCAACTCGCATTCCTGGTTTTCGCTGGTGCCTGCTCCAACGCACTTTTGGAGCTGGCCGATCGAGTCGTGAAACATGAACGTCAGTCTGTGTCACGACTCATTTCTGCCTCGTGCGAGGCACTGGAACAAACCCTGAATGAAAGCCGCTCCCAGCCCAGGTGTGACGGCCAGGTGGGCTCCAGCCCCGCCGCTCGGTGAATTAGCTATTTCTAGGAAATAACGACGTTTATGGGCATTTGCTCTACTCCATCAACTCGCATTCCTGGTTTTCGCTGGTGCCTGCTCCAACGCACTTTTGGAGCTGGCCGATCGAGTCGTGAAACATGAACGTCAGTCTGTGTCACGACTCATTTCTGCCTCGTGCGAGGCACTGGAACAAACCCTGAATGAAAGCCGCTCCCAGCCCAGGTGTGACGGCCAGGTGGGCTCCAGCCCTGCCGCTCGGTGAAGACGAGACGGGACGCGGCTCACCGCGCGAGCCCGACCGGGGTTAGGGAGCACGGCCCCTGCTGTGCTGCAGGGCAGCGACCGAACAACCCTCTTGGCTGCTATCAAAAGGGTCTGAATGATGTCCTGAGGTTCAGAGCGTTTGAGAACCACCCCACCTGGAAGCCTGTCTCGGCACAAGAGCAGTATCAGAGTTTAGGAAGTCACCACTTGCAGGTTTTAGAGGTCGGTCTGTCACTGCAGCCAAAGCAGGAGGCAACAAAGGGAGAAACTGTGGGTTCAGGCAAGCTGGGGCTTGTCGGCTTCAAGCAGCCTCCTCAGAGAGCTCAGGGGAGTGCAATGGAATCCTCACACAAATTAACTTCTTCCTAATTTTTCACAGGACAGGATTTTCCTCGATACGATATGCCAGGAGGAAAACCTCCCCAGGTTTACTGACTGCTGTGCCAAAAAGGACCCTGAAAGACACGACTGCTTCCTCTCCCTCAAAAACTCATCGAGAGGGTTCATTTCTCCTTTCGAAAGGCCAAATCCTGAAGCTGCCTGCAAAAACCACTCACAGCATCCACACCGATTAACAGGACAGTAAGTAAATCACTCAGAGGTTCGTTGCCCGGATATGACAGTTTTGTGCCTGGAGACAGCAAATGCAGCATCGACCAAGACGTTCAGTCTCAGATTCTCTGTAATCTCGTACTCGTTTCTCTTCCTAATGTGAATTATTTGCATAATTCATCTAGCTGTAATTGTCCCTACGTGGAGGCTGCTCCGCCACCTCCTGCGCTGGATACAGGTCTGAATGACAAACAGCCAGGCCTGGGTTACTGCAGTCTGTGTAAAAGCCTCATCTGCACCCAGGGGCCTCCCTTTACTCCTCAGCAGCCAAGCAGATGTTCTGCTGCCTCTAAGCCAGAGCTGGCAGGAAAACGTCAGCCCCGTCAGAATTTTTCCAAGATAAACACCGCACTGTGCAGCTTGTCGTGACGACAGGAGAACAATCTCTGTTAGCAGCTGTCATTTTAACACACGGCAGATGCTGCAGTAACACTGCTGCCCTCGCACGGAGGGGCTTACTCCGAAACTAAAGGTGTTTCTCCCTCGGCTTTAGTTTTATCTACGAGGTTTCCAGAAGGCATCCCTTCCTCTACGCCCCAGCGATCCTTTCTGTCGCCGCCCGTTACGCGGAGATGATGCAGACCTGCTGCGGAAGCGCTGCAGACCCCGCTGCCCAGCTGGAGGAATGCTTTCGGCGACAGGTATGCCACCGAAGGGTTTTCGTTCAGTGATGGGCAGCCGGGGCTTCCCTGCAGCTAAACAAACGCTGAGGCCGAGGTATCAGCCGTTTCCTTGTCGGCATCTGAGCCCGATCGTAGAATTCGCCTTGTCAAGGACAAGCTGAAATCAGACTTAAACACTCTCTTGAATGAGAGCTTGAGCTTCTAAACAGCAGTGCCCAGCTGTGGGGTGTCGGCAGCTGTAGCTTTACAGAGACCCCAGGGCGGTCCCCGCGCCCTGCGGTAGCATCTCTGCCCACCCCAGCTCCGCTGCGTGCACCGGGCTGCCGTCAGGGTGCCGAGCGACGACGCGGCGCTACACATCGTGCAGAAATCCGATTTCTTTTCCTGCTGGAAGCCCCAGGACACCTCTGCTGCTCGGCCGGGCACCCGCGCTGCAGAGACGAGCCCCCCGCGTACCCCGCGCCGGGCATTCAGCGCGAGGTGGCCAGCAGGACAAGGGAGGTTCTCCTTCCCCTCTACACTGCCCTGGTGAGGCCTCATCTAGAGTACTGTGTCCAGTTCTGGGCTCCCCAGTTCAAGAA